CAGTAGAAGCGCTCGCGTATCTTCCGAACAGTGCAATTAACGCCACATAGCCTCCTTCAGGACTGCTGTGAAGCTCCCTGAAGATCTGGACGCGAAACTCGGGCTGTACCACTTCCTGCCACACGACAAAGTCACCAGCAGGTGATTCGCAGCGTCGATACAAAGTTCGCTGCGCAAGTTCAGCCCGTCCCACTGGGCGCAATAGCTTAATACGCCTAGAGAAAGGTGCAATATCTCGGTACTACATGGTGGTAGGTAACCGCTTCGCTTTCACTGAACACGTATGCCGACAGCAAGGTCGCGCAACTGGGCCTCCTGGATCTCTTGATGTGACCTCATGTCACTAAAAATGGTTACCAGGCAGATGGTACCGCTCAAGGCTGAATTAAGGCGGACCATGCTCAAGTACTGTCGACAGGAGCCCTCACACATGATCATCTAGAGAGGGCGTTAGCGTTACCTTTCGTGTCGCACAGAAGGGCTGCGACACCAAAGAAAGGACATTGGGCTATACCAATGAAGGGCTGCGACACCACAGAAGGGACATTGGTCAATACCTGAGCCCCGTGGTGCTGCATTACTACAAACAAAATCAAAGACTCTTACACGAAACACGCACATGCACATACACTCACGTGCTCGCGCACGTGTATGTGTGCGTGTGCGTGCGTGCGCAAGCACGCACGCACACGTACTCATAGCGGGTCGGGAGGGAGAGAGGAAGTGTAAATCATTGTTGTTGGAGGTTGCCCTATGCGTCCTTGCTTTCATGTCCTGCTGCTCGAGGGGCGGGCACTATGTCAGCTCCCTTGGCAGAGAATGCAAGAGTGGTGCAGCCCGGGGCACAAAAAAGTTCGGATGTTGCTCAGTTCGGCCGAATAGTGGCTGCAAACCACTAGATTTAATCCGGCGCAGCTGCTGCACTAGTTGAAGCTCCGAATCTCGTGTCAAACACACATGGCAGACATGTATCGCAGGCTTAAAATGATAAGCTAGTTTTGAGGCCTGTACATACCTTAAAATAGATGAATATCCAGAACTTTTGATCGTCTTAGGCGCTTTCATTCGTCTCAGCCCAACCGGCCTGCCGACTGAACGTTTTCGCCGTCGCTCCAAGCGTCATGAAGAGACCGGCGGTGACGCTGGTGGCCGCGGGCTGTGCGCGTCTGCGTGGTTTGGGGGACTTTATCAGATCGGTCCGCGTCGGGCAATGTCCTCACCTAAAGAGTATATATCTTAAGCCAGACTTCATGTCTCCTTGTGTCTCATCGATACCATCGACCAAATCGAAATCAACATGGCGGTCGCCGTCTCGGTTGTCTCGGTGGCGATGGGTGTTTCAGAAGTCGTCCACACTGTTATTCGTGTAAAACCACTCCAAAACACATTTTTGAGTACCTTGCATGATTTTTAACAAAGTTATTCGCTATGCAATGTGTCAATTTATACTGATTTGTGTAAATAACGTGTATTTTACCCCCAAATAGTCAACAAATAGTCGGGACTTGGAAACAATGTAGTTCATATCAGGGTTAGTGTGGGCAGCGCAAGTGACTGCAGAAACAACGTGGCATTCGGTATAAGCGCTGTTGATGAAGAGTTCTTTGTTCGGCCTAGAGGTACTAAGAGCCTATTTTGCGCCGCCATTTTTGAGCTTACTGCGGAGTAGGTGAAAATGGCGATCGTGGCAATTTCAGAATGTGACCTTTTGAGCTTAGATGCGGTGTCAGGAAGCTCGGGCACAGAATTGGGCAGTACCGTAATACAAATGTATCGCGATAGTATTTCAGAAATATATTTCGTATCTGTATTCCTGTATCGAAATACATTTGGAAAGTTTCTTGATATTGCGATGCAATCAGGATAAAATGTATTTTGTTACATTTCTTCAAAAAGATCCCCCCTTCAAAAAAAAAAAAAAAGTCCAAACGTTTTTTGTTTTTGTTTTTTTTCTTTAATTTAAGGTTAAGTAGGTGCTGGGGCATTGTTACTATGCTAACCAACTATCCTTTCGATTCTCGAAACTATTTTCCTATGCGTCCTCTTCTCTCATCTGAGAAGAGTTAAGTAGTCGGGCACTGGAACCAGGTAGCCTGCCAGGAGTGGAATCGGAGCATCTACTACCGCGCATGTCTCTAGGTAAGGGTTTCATGAGTCATTGTTTGCTGGGAGCCAATGCCCGCTGCTAACCGTCTCTCTTGCCTTACCCTACAGAGTACACCCAACCGGCAAAGCTGAGTCACAGTCCGTTGCAGCACGAGCCTGGTGGTGGTTGATTTGAAATAGTAGGATAACACACGCAGTGAAGTTCAACAGATCTCTGAATATGTCCTCGCCCGTTATTGCACGGGTCAAGGGTACGTCATAGGTCGACGTGAACGTGACCGGCTGCTCTGCTGACCCGATACCCAGGAAGGAGGCCAGACGTGGCCTCGTTGTGCCGACCCAGACTTCGTCCACCACAGGTGTCCCCCAGTGGTTCGTATCTCTGGCCCATCCCACGGCGTCGTCACTTCTCACAGGCGGCGAGAGAGCCTCCCACTCAAGACTGAGTAGTCTGCTCCGGTCTCCACGAGTGCCGATGCGTCGTGGCCGTTCATAACAACGTTTAGGATTTTGAGCACCGTTGCAGAGGCGTCGTTGCGATGCGTGGGGTCGGGAGTGTGGGAGCGCTCCGGTGTTCTTGGAGGCTCTTTACTTCGGTCGTCTTCGGCACCGCCACCTCCAGGTGTGGCCGCACTCAGTTTTCCCGGCGACGCAGGGGGGACAAGCTCTGTCGGCGGGACCGACGAAGGGGCGATGCCGGACGTCGTGGGGGATGGTGAGCGGGATCCCCGAGAACGACCCGGCACTAAAGATGGCGGACGGCGCAGGTACTCCTCAAAGTTTCTTGTTCGTTCTTCCAAGGGGGGGAGGGACGTTCGACGCAAACCTTCCCCCATCTAGAAGAAGCTGCACAGTCGGTACACTTCGCCGGCCTCCCCACACTGGTAGCATATAGGGCGTCGGTCAGCCGTTCGCCACACGTCGGTCTTCCGGGGTGCACGGGGCTCCTGGCAGGCGTACTGGGCCTGCTTGTCGTGGCTTGGGTCGTACGGTGGCGCAGGAGACTGACGTCGGGGCGGCGCGACATAGGCGCGAGGAGGAGGCGTTGGCCGTCGGGCCATTGCGGCGTAGGTTAGAGTGGGTTTCTCGGGGACTGCCACGCTAATGGAAGCCTCTCGCTGGATGACTCTCTGGGGCTTTTCCCGCACGATCTCGGCGATGGATATCGAGGCAGGGCCATCAGCTGCGGGAAGAATTTTCCGGAGTTCTTCCCGGACGATGTTGCGGACAATTCCTAGACGGTTGCCAGCGCTGATGCCGCCCTGGTCGGATCGGGAAGATGCCAGCGTCGAAGCAACAGGCGTGCCGGCGAGTCGGTTGTAGTGGCTGTCTCGGATCGACAGGGCACGCTCGATGTTAGTTGCTTCGGCAACGAATCCATCGACAGTAGCTGGTGGGTTAGGAACAAGGCCGCCGAAGGTGTCACTCTTCACGCCTCTCATGAAGGCTCGCAGCTTTTTCTCCTTGGTAGACTGAGGGTCGGCGCGGCTGCTCAGACAGAGGAAACCTCCAACGAAGCTTGTGACAGTTTGTTTGTGGACCTTGCGTCCCTATTTGCAGGAGGTCTTCCGCTCTCTGTAGTCATTGCAGGTTCGTGAATGCCTCCTTCAGGCCGGCAATACAGGTGTCCCACAACGTAAGTGAAGCCTCGTGGTTCTCGAACCACTGCCTCGTGGTACCCTCCAAGGAGAAGTAGATGTTTTGGAAGCGCTGCTCAGTGGTCCATCCATCATGGAGGGCTACACGTTCATACTGGAGAAGCCAGTCCTCCACATCCTCGTGGGCCTCGCCATGAAAGGTCGTCGAGTTTCGCTGGGCGACGGGCAGGTAGACGACTGCGGCGACAGTCGGGGTCTGCGACGACTGGTGGTCCATCGTCGATATCGTTGGCAGCTTGGCATCAGTTGGCAGAAGTCCGAGTTAAGGGCAGCGCGACTGAATCGGGTCTCGGTATTGTCTTCGTTGGGCCTTCGTGGGATCGGTGTCGGACGTGCACTGCGTACCCTCAGAGGGGTACGCTGCAGGAACATGCGCTACCCCACGCCTCTACCAAAATGTCAGAAATAGAGGTGACGAAACAATGAATAACTGAGAAAAATGCAAAGCCCAAAAGGGCAAACTTGTGCTCCAAACAAAAATAAAATTGGACAAAAGGTAACGACTGAGCGTCGTGGGCGTTGAAGTCGGTGTAACAGCAGGATCGAACGCTGGGACGAGACTGACTCCGCTCGCCATATCTCTCCTATTTATCCGCGTGGGTTTCTGGAACAATCGTCGTAGAAATATCGGAGCGTAGGACATTCGGAACTCGATCAGATGACAATCTTCTCGAACTTACCAGAACGCCAAGTTGAAAGAATTAACAAAACAAAAACACTCCGCTGACTGGAATCGAACCTTGACTTTCCCCGCGACATTCAAGCGCGGTGACCATTCGTCAACTCACACGCTCGCTCGGCGACGCGCGTTGCATGTTATATAAATAGCTTTTTACGTTTTGCGTGCACGAGTTGAAGGTTGTCACATTTTTGGCATGGTCCGTGTATAAACATGCGATCTATATACATCCGCAAAATGATGTTTCCGCCAGCCACGTTTATTAAGTTTATGTGTTAATTAATTTGCACACTTCATCTGACATAAAGAATACAGAGACATTATGCATCGTTAAGTAACATGAGTTTATTTTTTACATAAAAGCTTGTTGTTTTTCAAAGCGTTGCGAATTGACATCACACGACTGAAAACCATAAGAGAACCTATTTTCATCCGAGATTTGTGACAGAATGAGAAAAATCAGTGCTGTTTAAAAACAATAGCCCATTACCAAGTGCATTTTATAGAGTGGTGTGTTCAGGTTGACGTTTTTCAGTGTTCAGATGTTACGGGATGATTCAAGAGTAGCAGCTTGTGTCCTTGTAAAAAGCCTTCGGGTATCCACAGTACGCGAGGAATACAAACCAGCATTCCTGCAGGTCAGTAGTGGGAGTTGTATTGTTCTTAAGAAAGAACTCACAAGCTGAAAAGTCAGAAAATATAATACAAATAATAAATTTAAGCATTACACTCTCAAGTGACACTTTCAAATTAAAACGATGTTTTCAAAATGCCCTGCCTTCTGATTTTGTATACTAACCTCTTATTTATGAGGGTACCCGAGTACATTTATATAAGTATAAATACAGATGATACCGAGGTTGTCACCATCGTACGTGGGGTCCAAATGATTGCTCAATATAAAAGTGACGCACATTGGTGGAAATAGCCAACGAAGCCACAGGAGCGTGCGGTCTCCGAGCTACACTATTTTTAATAACGCTCACCTATTTTATATCAAACATGGCAAAAGCCAGATAGCCAGATTTTGATAGCCGCTAATCTCGCAACCGGCCAGAAGAGGGCTCGAGCATGTTCCTCTTGCCATCAGTATGACACGGGCGTGTTGCTCGAGACCGCGCGCTCCCGTGGCTTCCTTGGCCCTTTCCACCAGTGTATTTCATTTAAAGTGCTCAAAGCTATTTCTATCGCAGCTCCCTATCATATGCATTATGCAGTTGATTTATAGGCGACGGTAGCTGGCATCGTTGCATGCAACTAAAAGAGTACATGATTAAGGCTGATTCACACATCTGAGCTTAAGTTTGATCGACTGCAGGCCCACTAGCGCCCCCTGCCAGTTAGCCGTGCAGCACTCTTTATCTGGGTATAGATATTTATATCTTTTACGCATCATTATTTCGATGTGGGCTTGAAATAATTCTGACAACGATATAAGCCTCTATGTTCCAAGTGAAGGAAAGGTATATGAAAGTGGCCAATAAATATATGGGGACTTAAAGGGTCATAAAAGAACTTATATAAGCTATATGTAAGCCAGATATACTTTATCTTATTTTTTATATGTTTGTGGGACAAATCCTTTTTTTTTCACACGAGGGTTTCCATATATATATTATGCATTTTGCGAATACATAAACACATTCAGAGTATTTATTTATTCAGGTTACTTGTTTTTAATTCGAACCGTTTCTTGGAGTGGCAAAGAGTTAGAAGAGTGCTGTACTGATCGTGTACTTATCAGGCTCGGGGACATTAGCTTAGGAGATAATTTCCTTTGTAAGTTGTCTCATTAACTAAAATTTGTTAAAAAAACTTTTAATTTGTTTTGTGGGTCATGTTGCAAGTGCAGAATTGCCGGAAATTAGTATTAGAGGATAGATTAATTTACATATTTTGCGAATATCTTGCAGTTCTTTTTTTTAAATTAATCAAGTTCCACGCTTGTTATCCAGATATAAAAATTCCGCAACAATAGGGTCGCAAGCGCACCACTTCCGACCCCTCTTCTCGCACTGAAGAGTGACCTAATCCTTTTACTGAGGCCGTCACGATATCGGCCGTGTGTTCTTGGTGCGCCGATGACTCAAGTGAAAACGTGGCTAAAATGCATATGGCTGCGTTTACATCAGTGCTACGGCAGGGCATCGAATTTAGACGGATTCAATAACACAAGCGGAGTCTCTGCAATCACAATCGCCGTATCTTATTTCGATGCTATACGATAGCATCCATCTACCCGGGGCTTGTGTCATTCTTCTAAACATTTTTGTGAGCGGGGCTCGCGAAGCCCTTTGTTCCCACACTTTTTAAATCAAGCTAAAAACGTTAAATTATTAATAATCAATATTTAAAAAAACGACTGTACTTTCGCCAATTTTTTTTTTAATCGGTCAGTGCTCTAATAGAAATAATCGGCAATATTGCAATTTCTACATGACCTCTTTATAATCAACAAGAAAAAGTAAATGATCAAATTTTAGCTAATTAACCAAATTACCTGACGATATCCCATCATTTAATATTGGCAGAATCTCATTATTACATGTTTAAAGACATGTAATAATGAGAAAGCTTTTACAACATGTTTACATGTTGTAGAGGTATCACCCGATTAAAGAAAATTCTAATTAATGTCGAGCAGCATGCATACAGCTTCGAAATGCTACCATGGCTACCCGAGAGAATGGGGTTAGTGTGTTCCCTCGTTGTAAGCAGCTACACCTAAGTACACCACACTGGATCACACACAAATGCAGATGTGTGTCAGCTTTCAATACCGAAAATCTTTCGAATGGGGAAAGTAAGTCTTAGCATAACTTTACTGTATCCGCTCGTGATACTGCAACATTACACACGTGATTTGCGCCACTTCCTAATCTATCACGTTTATGTAATCATTACACGTACCAGGAGTCCCGTTTTCGGTGCTGTTAACTTTCTTGAATACGTAGCAATTCTTGAAATTGGACACCAAGACCCGCCGCAGACCTAATGAAAAGAAGAAAAAATATCAGACATGATGCGTAGAGAAACAACCGAAGTTATTCTGCCTCAACGGGCAACTTGTTTTTCTACAGTAACTGAGAAATTTAGCCAGTGCGGTACAACCGCTCGCCTGGGGTCTTTAACACGCACCACGCAATAGTGATACGCCACCGAACGCCAGTACGTCCAAATCGAAACGGACGGGGATGGGGACTGAACCCAATATCTCTGGGTCCAGCAGGGCGAGCTCTCAGTTAATGTTCTCCACCATGTGATGCCCCAACACGGGTACATGAAAGGCCTCCAGAACGAACTCCTTTAAAGAATCGGCGATTTAGCTCGCGATCTTGCGCTTATCGGAGTGCGCTGGCTCGCCTACCGTCTGAAGGTGTTCGTTCTGTAGGCTTCTATCATTCCGGTCTGACAGTGGTATAACACCCTCTTCCAAACACCTCCTTTACATAAGACGCATTTAAGGCGGATGAATGTTCAATTTATGTGACATTAAATGTTCTCATAGGCTTGTTGGACACATTCATACTAGTTATATTTTTAGTTCAGGGCCTCAGATAAATCTTTACCCGCTAACTGTAAGCGGAGCGTTAGGAATATTGCGTAAAGTTTTCTGCAAACATGCAAAAGTCGAGTCGCGGTTGTCGTATCTCCGGCAAAATATTCGGCTCGTAGCGTTAGCTGCACTCTCACCTACATAAAAACGATGTACAGATCCCTTTTGAGATTGTCTTAGTGAATATCCTGCAGCAATAGGGGCCCCTTATGATGGTTTGTGGCAAGCAAGGAGGCTATCATAAGAATATTTAGCGTTGTTGTAACGCTAACGACGTAAATAAAAGGTGTTCTAACTTTCTGTCAGCTCAAGTTACTGTTAAGTGCAACAGAAAGTACATGGCGGCCTAAAGCAGTTAATTACGAAGCAGTGATAGCGTTTTGACTCCAAAATCCGAAAAAAGAACTCTGTAAGTAAAGGCCATTGATCGAGTGCTACAGAGCTATGCGGTAAAGTAGAAACGGGGGAGTTGTTCTTAAAAAGTTTGTATTATACGTATTGTAAAGTATTATACGTCATAAGTTCGTAATATACGTGAACCCGCTGGTTCTCGATCGGCGGTATTCGGGCGGAAAGAAAAGGAATTTCCAGCCGCAAACTGTGTTCTGCTTTCTTTGGCTCTTATCTGTCATGTACAAATAAAACCTTTGGAGAGCATAAATAAAAGTTACTATTATCTGTGAAAAGTTACAATAGTTTAATGCTATCCCTTGCAAATTTGTTTTGAGGGTTCGAGGCAGAATTGCGAACTATCTTATGCAAGATTAGTCTAGACAAGGGGCATTACAATACGTCTTTACTAAGGCTATCATGTTTTGCAACGTAACTAGAACAGTAAGCAACAATACAAAACAGCACGATGCATTTAAGAACATATACACGAAAACGTATAGAAAGAAGGTTACCGTATTGATCCTGAAGAGAGATTTGGGTAGGAGAAATCGCATTTATGTCCGAATAAAAGCGTAGATATTTTTTTTCTATACTTTGACTGAAATATTAAAAAAGAGATGATAAATGTAAAGCGGAAAGAAAATTAAGGAAGTAGGAGTGCGTCCTTAAAAGTTACTTTTATGTTTGAAGGTATTATTGTATATGACATTTCATAACATGAGAGGCATAAGTCTACGTAAATGCAGTTTTCTTGTTGGTGACAGTACTGCACTAAAGTTGCAGACATATGAGTGAAATCTTGAGCTTTTTCGTAGATATATAATATTTATTCAATATTATTGCAGTAATCATATCTTTAATGCTTTGGTCTCACTAGAGCGACACACAAAACCAACCGACACCGACAAGCTTGACAAGTACGTACCCGAGGCTTGTCATATCAGTGTCATAACTTGCTACACGTATCACAAATAAGGGGTAGCTTGATACTAACGTGTAAACATTTTAAATAGGGAATGAAGTGAATCTTTAATATACCGCAATTAATCGACTACTGCATTATCTGCCGTCCTTACATTTAACTTATTAATTGGTCAAAGGTGCTCCTTTAATGCCATTGTCACGGACATCGTCCCTGTCGTTGTCGAACCCATCATCAAACACTTTATTCTCAAATGATCTGCGACCCAAAGCCAACATGCAGTCAAAAAGTACGAGTAAACTCGTCTGCGACCTATGGTACTCTGACTGCATAATTTCCTACTAAAGTAAATCTCTCATAATGGCGTTGAGTTTCCACTTTCACGTTTCAACTGCCTATTTATGTGGTAGACCAGAGATAAGTACCTAAATTCGCTGTTCTATTTAAATATTTCTGTTTTATAAGTGTCATAAATAAGTAGGTCTAAGAAATTTTTCTTTTTCCAACATCTTAGAATTTTGAATCAACGAACCTACGCCAAATCAATCAAATAAATGTCTTGGATGATAAATTTAATACTGAATTCACAGGACTAGAAGAAACACGGGAATAGGGCCAGAAATTATATAATGATTTACATATTTACTGTGATAACTTCGCAGCTTTTTAACAATATCATTAATTTAACCGAATGACTACTTAAGCATAGGCCAACGAATAATCAAGTAATTATTCCCAATAGGTGCGCAGGTATTTAATTATTTTTCATTGAAATGGCACCTAATAATACAGTGATGGATGCCATGCAAGCATTATCACGTTAGCATTATGCTTCCGATCGCACTGAATATCTAAAACAAATGTGGGTCAAAATAGTTCTTTTGCCTTTACCTTTCCTCCGTGCGATATTTCAGAAGAGTTAAGTTATCCCGAGTCACAGCATGATATTCATCAACAATATAATCCATCATATGAATTTTTATTGTCCACTGGTGCTTCTAAAATACTTTGATTTAAAGAAAAACTTTAACGCGTGGTTGCAACATGTGAAACTATCCCTGGTACCCTGGGAGTCTTTATTGTGACTTCCTCCGAGTTGGTCCTCTAGTTTTGATTTTCAATTTGATAGTTTTTGTAAGAATATCTACCAAACTTGGAAAAATTAATGAAGTGTGTCGCTGGTCTTAAGTGGTTCCTAATTATAAAACAAACTGTAGTCATACTTCCTGCCAGAAGTGATCATTTTGAGCTCCAAATCTGCCTCAATAGGCAATGTCTTCTGAGTTTGTATTCCACATAGTCTTGGGTCTTTTTTCTCGTAGGTTGAGGCGTACATGTTTGCCTCTGGAATGCGGTACAAAACCTGAAATACCGAATAATGCGTTCATCCAGAAACGTAAATGACGTCTGCACAATTATTTTGATTGGATATTTATTTCATTCCACATTTTTCACGTTGCAAGGTAATACAGGAACTATTTGAATAAAGAAAAAAAGGTCACTTGACACCTTTTTGAAATTTGTTTATGCTATCATATATTCATGATGTTGCCTGATGTTGGTTTTACCTCGGTAATATATTTCGGGATTTTAACAATTGGATTGCAATATACGGCCGCATGCGTGGCCACGTTTACAACGCAGGCGGCTGCCACGTGGACAAACGAGGTTAGAAATCCCCTGAACTGAGAGCTTTGATTTCTAATTGTGTACTTTTCAGGAAAGTGTGAGACAATTCTGGCTGTCATGGAGTACGCTTTTTTTTTTTTACTTTCCAAAAATATACTGCGTCTTTAAAAGCAACTGTAAGACGCCACTTCGAATCAGTCCCTCTCCGTCAGAATGCGCGCTGTACTTTTGGATTCACTTAAAGGAAGAAGTTAGCCTTATTAAATGTTTACTGTCAGTTTTACATTCGTCTGCCGTTTTCCATGCGCGAGATGACCTCGAGTGACAATTTAAGATAATAGATAAAGTGCATATACGGAGGATTCCGTGTTTTCGGAGTTTATTTCTCGTGAAATTTGGAGGGCGTTTTCCGGAGTTTATTTTTAGCTGGGAATTTGGGGTTTATTGGAGTATATTTTTGTTAGATTCCCTTTCTCTGAAAGTCCATGTTTATTTTACTGCGTAAAATTTAAAAAAAAAAATAAAAAAATAAAAATAAGGTTCGGGTACCCTCAACCCCCTCCCGAAGGAATTCGGACGTGCTAAGAGGCTAACTTCTTTTGCCAGTAGTTCTAGATTTCAAAGGAAACTGAAGTGGGATCTCCTGAGGACCACTGACTGCGTGCTCTCAAAAGTTTAGTTGTAAACTCCGTTCTTTGTCCTGTTTATATTGTCGCTGTGACCTGAAAATTCTGAGTTTTTGGGAAAAATCCCAACTGACGGAAAATTTACCGACGAGTGTTTTCGGATTTTTTCAGATTATTTTGAAAACACCGAACCTTACATGTGCGTAGCTAACCTGGAAGCAGGATTATGTGAGTTTGGCCATTTCATTTCAACTTGTGCAGGAAAAAAAGGTCATTTCTCCTGAGGTTATGAAAACAAAACAAATGTGATAAGCACCTCATTCATTAAGACACACCTAGAATTCTTTTTGGCGTCATATTTTCATTTGTCGCGATTATAACTCCTAAATGACCGAACATGAACAGCGGACCGCGGGGCGGCCGGGATGACTCTGAGGGCTAATCTGACCTGCGGGCCGGGGTTTGCAGACCCCTGTTATGGGTCATTAAAAAACTAATAAAATAAAAAAGTTAAGAAAAATAATGTTTAAATTTGTAGTTTTAAAGTTGTATTTAGTGTTTAAAGGCTTTTACCGTGAAGTAATTTTATTTGGCTATACTTAAGAGGTATGATTAAAATTTGTTGTCGTATGATATTTACGCTATAAAAACAAAATATCATCCAAGATACGTAAACTGTCGTCAAAAAACCAGGTTGTAGAGGATTTACAAAAAAAACTTTTAGGAGCATATGGAGTTTTGCATTCTATATAAAATTATGTAAATGGTTCATTTGTACTGCGGCAGGTATATGAGCCTAAGAAAGCTGTGACGATCGCGTCAATCTCAAATACGTCTTGGTCCTTAGAAATCAAGCACATAAGATATAAAAATGGAACGAAAAAGTGTTTTGTACAACCGATGAATTTGCCCAACATATATAAATTGTAACAGCGCAGCGTCATCACCATCAGCATCCAGATTATCATTGCCATCCACGACAGTGCATCGCCTGCACGGGCGATGCGTGGCTCATGCCAGAGCTCGGGGGGCAGAACTGCTCCAGGGCTCGGCCAGCAAAGCCGGTGCTTTTTATCTCTACTTTGTCTTTCGTACAATATATATATATATATATATATATATATAAATATATATATATATATATTTCAAAAGTATTTGAGACATGTTTTTTTTTCAGCACTATTTGAAATAAAATCGCCCTCTAACAATTGATCCACATAAAATAGTTTCAGGAAAAAGACTAGTTACCTCCGGGATCTTTTGATATTCGTTCATGAAGATGGTGTCCTCTTTTAAAAGAGGCGTGCGTACAAGCAACCGAAGTAAATTCAATTCATATAAGAATTGTTCACTGCTTGAGGATTCGGCGGGGTTCGGCCATACACCTAGGTAAAGAAACAATAAAAATGCATTTATTTTTTTATTCATAATTATATAAGAATGATGTACTCTTCATATATCTTCTGAGCAGCTGAGCCCAAGTCATTTAACAACACTCATAAAGAGTTTTTTTGTTTTTTTTTAGATATGGTTTGCTGGTGTTGATTTAGTTTGGTTCTCTCGCAGAGTTAATTGCCATCTCAATTTCTGTTCAACTGCGCATTTTATGTGTTTTCATATTCGCTCATTATTTAAAACTTTGCCCGTTCCTCAGAAAAAGTCGCTGCATAACAGTATCACAAATCCGGATCTCGACATCTGTGTATCGCTCGGTGTTCTGCCGCATGTTAAACGATTTGTTACTCACTAACTAATCCTACATATCATATTTTACACAGTGTGTGCTGAGAGGGGCTCTATATATTTTATTGATTAGTTTAAGTATTATATTTTATTAATTACTTTATGTATACAAAGAAACCACCCAAAACATTCCTACAGTTGCGTTCTGATATACGCTGACCTATACAGTGCATAAAACCGTCATATGGGCTTTTCCACTTGTGCCTTTATAGAAGCGCTATGCGCATTATCGCAGTTTCGGTATTCTCTAAAGACACTATCATAGATGTGCTTTTTAGAGCTCACCTGCGTAGTATTCTTAAACAATTTCCTCCGTTTATTCAACATCATGCAGTATACACGTTCTCGCCGAACTAGTACAAAGCACGGTAGAATAACGACCTTGACAAAAAACGATAGATTACTCTATTTGGTTCTCACCCGCGATCAAGTCCACACAGTTTATTTCGGCATATAAAAGGCTTCCGACAAAATAAACCATAAACTACTTCTACACAAACTTTTTTTGTATGGTGTTTCATCTCTACGCTAAATAAATCGTTTCAGCCTTATCTAAGAAATCACAGAAGCAGTGTGCTAATTTTAAACAGCTTCTCAGAACCTTTTGTCTGGCGCCAATCCAGTGTGGGCTTACTTTTTATTTATTTTTATTGGACATTTTATTTCGTCGATGCATTTGGCGATATTTACGACATTTATTTTTAGAGCGCACTTCTTAGGAGCCCGTTTCTGGCTTGAGTGGCGTCGGCGTAACCACGCGTTGCATTATGAGCGCTCCCATATTGACGCTACACGTGACGTCACGCGTGACGACACGAGGGTAACCAGTGACGTCACGCGGCGCCTAAATTTAGCAGAAATATTTCCCGGCTAAAGTTGGCGGCGGAAATTTCCCCACTAGATTTGGCGGGGAACCTTTCCTGCTAAATTTAGCGGAGAAATTTTACCGTCAAATTTAGCGAAAGAACTTTCCCTCTATATCTAGCGGGAAAACTTCCCCACTAAATCTAGCAAAAAAAAAAAAATTCCCCGCTAAATTTAGCGAAAAAAATTCCCCGCAAAATGTAGCGAAAACGTTTCCCCGCTAAATTTAGCGAAAACATTTTAGTAAAAAAAATTCCCAGCTAAATTTGGCACAAAAATTTTAACCGCTAAATTTAGCGGAAAATTTAGCGAGTATTCTCCGCTAAATGGGAGGGGAGCAGAAGAGTAGGAGGGGAGGGGGAGGAGGGGCATATCCTCCCCTCTGATCCTTCCCCTCTTCCTCAAGAGCTGCGCTCTGACTCGGCATTCCAGAGAATTGTAAACGTCTTTCTTTTTCTTTTTTTTTTTACGATTAACACCGAAAAAGGTGAATGTTGTCGACGAAACTTCGCTGACCTAAATGATACGCGTCTCTCTTTCCGGAGGTGCATAGGGGACAGCGGGGCTTGTGTTGCCGTCTGGACGCCGCGAAGCGTCATGTACTTGGGGGCCAAGTGGGTTAATAGTCCTGTAACGAGCAGCCGCAGACTGTCGCCGCGAAGCGTCGTAAACGCAAGGGGGGGGGGGGGGCTGGGTTAACACGCTACCCAGTGATAGACGCGCCGTCCGAATCCGAATACGAAGTTCCCGCGCGTTGCCGAGCGGCCAACCCGGCGTGAGCGCCGATACTAGGGTGTCTATCTTTGCTAGGGCATCCTCCTCTCCCTCCTTTCTTTTTTTTTTTTTTTGTTCTCGCCGCGTTGCGTGTGCACGCGATCGGATATACGTTGCTCAGTGGCCATTTGAAAATGGCCCCTTTAACATGAACATCGCCAAAGTGGTAACATGTCCTCCAGATTAAAAATGCGCATAATTAATTCCTACCTGTTCAACTATAAATACAGGAATCTAGAAACCATCTCAGCGCGCCATGAGCAAAATAGCTCCTAAGATGTATAATATTTGCTTAACATTCACCCAGAGAAATCTGTAGCATAGTCTTTTTGTGGAAATATTTTAACCTATTATTTAGTTTTTTGTTATAGGAGAGTTGTTAGTACACCGTTCCAATATATCTCCAATTCAAAGTTTTAGGGAACTGTTTTTGCAAGTCCGGTACGGTACCATGGGCCCTCGGGTACGACCTGCGCGTGTGGGTGTCTTCTTCTGTGTTCGCGCATGCGCAGTGCGTACCGCAGGGCCCGTCGTACGGTATCGGATGTGCAAAAACGGTTCCCTAAAACTCCCGAATAACTATACCCGGAAACAATGCGATACAAGCGTAGGTATCGGATTCACCTACTAAAACTCTCTATAAACACTGACAAAGTAAAAACGGCAAAATCTTTTTTTTTTCTTTTTTGCTACGCTCGGTCTCTTTCACGCAATCGCTCACTTTTATCGTGTTTTGTCTGTATTGTGCGTTGTCGCGAACAGACTCAAGGCTTTCGTCGGGCTTTGTCGGGAACGAACTCAAGGCTCACAAGACGCCCAGTCGTCGTCGAAGGTAGGAAGTTCGCGCAAACAGACAACCAAAGAAGCAAACAACTCAAAGTGAAAATTGATTGCATATTTGGCCATTTGTTAAAGACGTTTAACTGTGGTAGCTTCATAAGGTATGTGGTGCCTAGGGCACGATGGACCTTAGTCTTTCAATGTCTGGAGAGACGGGAGGGGAGGGCTTTTAGTTTAGGTGGTGCCTTATGGGACCCCATTGTCCCTTTGTGACGCTGCGTCCCTTCATCACTACCCGGATACAAAGCCTTTAATCTAAATTTTATGGTTTGCCAAGAGAGGGGAAGCTCGCTGTCTTGTCCTTTCCACTCCTCGCTCCGCGCGCTCTTGCAACACCACCTGCTCCTGCTCTTCTTTTCGTGCCTTTTTCAACGCTCTCCGCTGCGAGCGCTTTCTCACATCCCCTACTTCCCGTCCCTGCGCGCTGGTTTTGCAGCGCAGTCAGCAGCGCACTCGGCTTCCACGCCGGCGACCAGTATTCGTTCCCTGGCACCAGCTGCCTTTTATTTCGATATCGTTTAGCCTCACAAATTTAGAGGCCTACACACTACACATTTCGCGCTTATGCGGCTCGTGAGGTTGGTTGGCCCGATAAAGATTTCGCTTTAAAAGATGTGTTGCATCTGAAAGAAATTTATTTGTTTAGTTGAAAGCGACATTTACGTACCTCGTGTGGGCCGTCCATAACCACAGTATATCCGGTAAATTGAGTGACATTGCGTGTTATCCATATTGTTGGATTTTTTACTTGCAACGAAAAGCTCGCAAACTGAAATTGCACATTTTGAACGTGATTAGGAAGTTTAAGCTGTGAAAAACTAAAATGCACGTTCTCGAAACTTGGTAAACTGAGTAGCACAGTGTGAAAGAACCCCGGAGGCTACTTGTCTATTTAACAATGTTACAAAACTGTGTGTATTTTAATGCGAAAGCATTTTCTGTCCCATGGAGCGCAGCCAGCGTTGTCTGGAACCGCAATAAACGGCTCCTAAATACGGCAGGTAAAAAGGCTGCGACGCGTCCCAATTCCAAGAAACGCCCCCCCCCCCCCCCCCCCCTCCCCGCAGACGCACAGACAGAGAAGACCTCTCCACGCCGCTGTGGCCCGCGCGTACGCGCGGCCGCCCCTGTGTCCCCCTTTCGGGTCACATGTCAGGCGTGGCCGGAGGCCCGGAGGGGGGAGGCGAGAGGGAGACTGGGGAATTTCCGCTCCTCACGTGTTCTACACTCTTGTTCCAGCCATGTAAGGCCGCGGAGGAGCGGGGCAAGCTGCCTGCTGTCCTCCGCGGCACGGACAGCTGGGAGCGCTGCTTGTATGAATGCTTTCGTATTCCTACACGTAAGCTGTCTTCTTGGACACGCGTCCTGTCCAAGAAATGGCTACTGCCGATGAGAGGGATTGAAAGAAGGGTGCGAAAGCAGTTACAATATATTTCTGAGGGAGAAATCGAAGACTTAGACTCTGAGCATAAGGTCTGCATGTTTCTCTATTATAATTCTGAGTACAATCTGTAGTCACGCCTAAAGGATATCCTAGTGACCTACTAACTGGTGCCTTGGATCTGCAGCCAGGGTCGTCCTTGTGGCTCATAGTTCCGTCTGTAGAAAACACTATGACGAAGGGTAAAGACACGGGCTCACTGCTTTGTGTACCGCGTGGCAGATCTGGGAATCCCTCTCAAGCATTCATTCAGCGGCATCAAATTTTTATTGGACGCTTGGAGACTCAGGTTAAATGCCACTGGGCAAGGTACAGCGTGACAAGGGGTGGGCATCGAGATGATGCTTTCGGGTCTTCTATACAACGCTGAGGTAATAGTATTGAACTTTGAATGACCATGTTCCAAGGCGGCCAGATGAATCTTTAAAGGTGGTTGACCAGCATAAGGTGTGATGGTCTATAACAATTTTAATATTAGGTAGCATAAAGGTACGGTCCGCATATTGATATCGTATATATAAGTGCTTGATATTAACTCTTTGTGATGCTGCAGTTTCGCTCACACTTCGTTAGAGTTGGACTAGTGTCAATAATCGTCCACGATGACGCGTGGACGATTATTGACGTTCTAAGCTAAGACAGCCCCAGTGCCATATCCGCTTGCGTCCGTTCGGATTTTGGTGCAAGCACGTCTTCTATAAAGCAGCGTTGGAGGTAACGCGTTACAGGTAACGGCGTTACCGGTAACGTTTTACTTCTTTGGTAAATTAATAACGTACTCATTATTTCTCCCCAGTAGTAAGGCGTAGAGTACTTACGTTACCTATTTCAAGGAACGGGCAACGTGGTTATAGTTAGTTGTTACATCTTCATCCCCAAACCTCAAAAAAGCCCACTGAAATTTTTTTCCTGTTTCTATTTGGAAGGAGATCGAGGAGTGGAGCTCCCTAGCGGCCACCTCGGGAACTAACGCTGTGTTGCAATAAACAAACACTCCGACCGCAGTCACTAGTGCATTCGCTGCCATGAAAGACGACGACGCAAGACTCGTGAAAGATATGTAACACTTTTATATTCTTCTAAACGCATCTAGATAGAAGTAATCTGGCCCCCTCTTGCATTCAATGTCATCGAAGTCATTTTGGAAGAAAAAACAACAGCATGTGTGCCTACGCGCGGGCGTGCCGGGCCAGCCGTGTCGTGTAGGCCGCGGGCTCTGGATCGCGCGTGGTCGGCGCGGCGTCCATGTTTGTCTGAATGATTCACAAAACACGCACATCACTTTTCAGTTAACCTGTCTCTTGCGACAATCATGGACTGCAATTTAGGCTTGAATTATATGTAGTCGGCACCGGTTAGAAATTGCTCTAAGTTCTGTAAGTCTCTAAAGAGAAATACTGAAACCATATTGGGGATATGGGCCCAAAAACGAGGACACGAAGACGGGTGGACCACAGGACAGGCCGCCCTTATGCGCTGAGCCACCCACGTCCTGTCCTGCATGCTATCCCTCATCCTGTCCTCATTTTTGTTTCCCTACATCTTCATTGTGAATCAGAGCGAACTAGACAAACTAGCCATCTTGTAACAGAAACCAGTTCAACTCATATTCATATGATGTGTAAACTACATAAGTAAAAGTGTATTGATTACTTACATCTTGACCTTCCGCTTAAGAATGGAGTAATTAAAATTAAACATTCCTTGTAATCCGTAAAAAGAAGTCGGGCATCTTCCTTTTGTATATATGTCCTCTTCGATCCTAAAGAAATAAAATTATTTATTGACTTATATTCCGTTGTATTCAGCAACAGTTCCCGTAAAAAGGTAAGCCAGATTTTTTTTCGTAAATTAGGAAAGTTATATTACAATACTGTAGGCACCCTATGAAACACGTAGGTATTGACTTGGAGAACAGATTAGTAGTGCAGTCTTAACTTGGAGATTAATTCGAGGTAACGTGAGACATAAAATTAATGTATCCATATGCGTGACTGTCTCAGGAAGTTTGCAGCTGTCGGATCATATGTGCTTCAGCTTAGTAATGTGGTTTATGTAAATTGGAACTAGAATTCGCACGTCCATATACAGGGTCCGATCGAGAAAAGTAAACCCTACTTTTCGGCCTGCGTAAAAACACTAAGCGTCGCAGAACGCTCAAACTCCGCCAGAATGTTACCCTAGCGGTCCAAGCAAGATGCTAAAGTTTCAGCCCCATCCGATAACTTAATCAAAAGTTATAAGTGACTTCTTGAAATTTCAATGGGAAAATGGCCGCCGACGGAGTTTTCGAACACATGGGGCTCTATGACACCAGAGACCGAAAACGGGCGAAAATTGGCTCAATTTTCAGGAAATCACTTATAACTTTAGATTACGTTATCGGATTTGGCTGAAACTTTGGCATCTTGCTTGGACCGCTAGGGTTACATTCTGGCGGAGTTTGAGCGTTCTGCGATGCGCAGTTTTTTTTACGCGGGCCGAAAAGTAGGGTTTACTTTTCTCGATCGGACCCTGTATATCTCTCAACAGGACGCCCAGATCGATTTAGCCAGCATGACAAGTTACACCTATCAAACTGCGCGACAGCGAGCGAGCACGATAAGGTACTTTCTGTCCATGTTAGTTGTACAGTTTTTTTCAACGAACAATTTTACTAAGTGTGTTTCGCACACAATAACGCTATTGACTTTTTGGTTATTTCAGCCATTAAACTACCAAGGAAAACAAGAAAAGTGTCTAAGTTTCAGTTTGTGACAGCTGCGTCAATGATTGTAGCTGTATGGGCTGTCGAGGCTATCGGAAATCATAGGTGATTCAAAAATTCTTATCGCGTGTATTACCAAATTTTCGTGGAATTTCTAATTCTGAAAGTTCCTTGGTTCTTTGGTCTTCATGAGCCTTCACAATAACCGTGGCCTCCCGCGCACTGTAATAAAAATGCGGGAAAAGCACTGTTCAGTATCAAAGAAAACCCTCCGGCGGGTGAATAACAATTCAGCATACCGATTAAACAATCTAAGTGATGTTTTAAGCAATTGGTAGTTTACGCCACTGCCTGTGTTCTAACGAGCTTATTACAGTGTCAAATTCTAATATACGCTTTTCCCATAAAATGAAACGCAAAACAACACGCAAAGCTCAAGAAATGTTTGTTAATTTTACTTATTTTTTATTTGTACCCAGGAGGCATGAAGGCCTTTTCGAAAACAAATGTACAAAGGTCACAGAATCCAATTAAAGGTCTGGAATATTTCGACAGGGCAGCAAAAAGGTTAGCAAAATAATGTGTATTCCTAAAAGCAAAGCGTTGTGTCTGCACGGAGTTTCGATAAATGCTCATGAAAGGTTGATACCATACAACAGAGCAGACCACATGCAGCAAATCCTTGCAAGAGTTTAAGAATACGTGGTTGCGTGACAATTTGCTGATATTAGCCACTGTTCAGCTGCTTCACTATAAATTAACTCAATTCACCCATGTTTCAGTAGTCAAGTGAAGTAAAGTTCAAGTAGTCTTGCATTCAAAAAGTTATATCAGCGGACATTGAAAGTTAGGGTGTCTTCATATACACTTCTTGTTGGTTTTCTGTCTGCTTTTAATACTTATATTTTCAGTTGCGTCATTCTCAAACGTGTTGCTTCCGGTATTTTAAAACTTAACAAGCTACAAAATTAAACCTGCTGAACCTGTGCTGGTAACGCAAATTTACAAATAATTTGAAATGCCTAGTTTTACATTGTTTTATAAAATATGTTAGCAGTGAATGAAAGCGTGCCTTTTTATTTGAAATAACTTGTATTACTGGGTGTGCTTGATACGCAAGTTTATATCTTGAAACGGATTTTCTTCCGCACGTGTACATGACCGAATTCACGCACCCGCAACATACTTTGAACACGCCCATCCATCTCAAGCTTACATTGTAGCATCCCTCTTTAACCTTTTCTACAAATCTCTGCTGAACTGTGTGAAAAGCATGCTTTGCCGGGACTGTTGGATATCTTTTGAATTTAAGGTGACACCTGATGACAGCAATTCCAAGTAAGTGTAAACAATTATGTGCGAATGCATATACATGCTTCTCTACTTACACACAGTTTCCACGCAGATCGGTATCATGTATTGTCATATCAACCGTCTTAGCTGTATTATTAAACCAGTGGACTTGAATCCGGCAAATGGACCGTGTAGTGTGTGGTGATGTCAAAGCCAAATCTAGTAATCTTATATCTTCCAATACCTGAACAGAGAGGGTTTTTTGAATTATATAATCATAATAATAATATAATAATAATAATAATAATATATTTTATTCCAGCATTTGATTTTTTTCATTATGTTAGACTCGGGTCTGTCGAAGCCAGGGTTAACTTGTGTGACACGACCCAGCGCTGATGTTAGCCAATGTGAGTGGTAGACGGGCGTTCTTGGTATGCTAATAGCAGTCAGTTTAGAAGTTAAAATATATTTCACAAATGGCAGTCAGTATAGATATTTGAAATAATTTACAAATGGCAAAATAAGAAGCAAAGAGGTGATAGCTATAACTACACTATACCATCCTTCATGACAAAGTAATATTTAAACACATGGATAAATTAATGTACACTTTCAAAAAGTAATAAAAGAAAGTAAATGTTTGCAAAAAAAACCCGGATATGTGTATACAGGCATATATCACACAAAGATGCACAAAGGCATATATATATACCCAAATTTAGATCTACAGATGCGTACACGGATACACAAATATACAGTACTTACAACATAGACACGGATAAAGACACAAACAAATGCCTATGTGGATTCAGCACCAACTGAAGAAAGGCCCAAAGAGTTCGAAATGTTATTCGCAAAACAAAAATGCATATGTGGTTTCTAGCACATTTTTTTAGATGCTTTTTTTAAAGATCGTAGAGAATCGAGTTCATCAAAAACGTCTGGTAATTTGTTGAAGATGTCAGGCAGGTAAAATGAACGTATACTCTTTCCGTAGTTGGTGTATATTCGAGGAATTATAACGCGTTCACTATTTCTTATGGAGTGCTGAACAAAATGAGGCGTTTTAAACGGGCTATTCCAATAATGCTTTAGGATAACACATCGTTGAAAAAGAGGCAGAAAACGCGGTAGGCCCACTGATGCGAATATGTCACCGTCCTGTATTAATTTGGAATCATAGGCAACAATTTTGGCGATGCTCTTAAGAATGACATCTATTTTTGTTCTCCAAAGAGCTGAACAGTTGGCGAAGATTGTAATTTCGTATCGCAGAGCTCCATAGGTGGAAGCATTAACGATTATTTTTCTGACGGAGATTGGGAGGAAGGTTTTGATGAGTTATAATAAACATGGTACATTTCGTAGTCTCTTAGCCAAATAATCCAAGTGTGTTTTCCATGTTAAATCGCTATCGAAATAAACGCCCACGTATTTTACTGTATTTACGCATGGCATAGGTGTACAGCTGTAAGAGACACAAGACGATGAATGAAGTATAAAAGGCATTTCTATGCATGTCCGCTTGAGTGGGTTACGGAAACAGACAAGTTTTGTTTTTTGCAGATTCAGAGATATTCGATTTGCTTCAAACCAGTTCATGACTCTTGTAGAATTTATTTGTAGCATGTTGATTGCACAGCGCAGGCTGATATGAGTAGATAGCAACAATGTGTCATCTGCATATTGGTAAACTGTACATCCTGATGTTGATCGGGCGAGATCGTTCACGTAAAGATTAAACAGCAAGGGGGACAGGACCGAGCCTTGTGGTACTCCCTTCTGTAGGCCTACTTTGGCGCTTGTTTTGTTGGAAACCAATACTTGTTGCCGATCTGTCAGTCAGAAAGTTTTGGAGCAACGAAAAAAATGGACCCCGAAATCCGTAATTGCAAAGTTTCTCCAGCAGTATTCGGTGATCGATAGAACCAAACGGTTTTGACACATCAAGGAAGAGTGAGCACGTAAACTGATTATTGTCGAATGAGGAGTGTAAAGTATCAGACATATCCTCAAGTGCCGAGATGGTGCTGCAGCCTACGATAAAGCCGTATTGGTTAGGTGATAGAATATTGTATTCGTCAAGGAAGGCGCTCATTGTTTTAAAAATTTGTTTTTCGAGAACCAACGCCAAACAAGGAAGAATAGATATGGGACGATAGTTTTTTACAATGTCACGTGCACCATTTTTATAAAGAGGTCTGACAATTGCGCTTTTGAAATTTTTGGAGAAAACCGCGGTGTCTATAATTCCGTTTAGTATGTGGGAAAGAACGCGTTTTAAGACATTAAAATTGCAAAGCAAGTCGCTAAGTTTAGTATTATCTATACCAGGAGACTTACGAGGCCTAAAGCTAAACAACAACATATGAAGATCTTGTTCAGTCATGTTTGGGAGAAAGGCAGAATTTGGGCAGGGTTTTTCCAGATTTACCGCGGAAACATTTACATCGTCAGATATGCCGAAGATTGAAACAAAAAAACTATTGAAATTATCCGCCACAGAAAGCATATTGGAATTAAATATTTTTTTCAATAACTTCATCGATAGAGTTTCGCGTATTGCCGCCTTTTACTTCATTCACAAGAGACCAGGTTTTTGCAATGTTAGAACGTGCGTCGAAGAACTTACGTTGGTAGTGTTTCCGTTTCGCATAGCGTATGAGAGCGGTTACTCGATTTCTCTGGCTTGCGTATTGTAATTTTATATCTTGGGAATTTGGTGACCGGCGATAACGCGCCCATAAGATATCTTTAAGTTTAATTTCCGACATAATATCTGCTGTCAACCAGAGATGTTGCGGTCTTCGTTTTTCTGTCTTAATGACTTTTATACTCTTCTCCGTAAAATGCGCAAATGCATCAACTAACTTTGTGTAGGCAGTCTGACAGTTCGTGATGGTTACTAACTGTTCTTAATCATATGAGGATATTAACTTGTCAAAAACGTGACTGTCGATAATAGCAATCTGGTTTGAAGGCTTCTTGTTTTCTTCCGATACAATACCACAGTCTATTTGGCATGCCGCGAAATAATGATCAGCCAGCTTTTGTGAGATGACTGCGGATTTCACAGACGCCCCTGAACTCCTGATGTCAATATGATCGAGGCAAGAAAAAACACGTTTTCCGCTTGTGAACTCTTCTCTCGTTGGTACGTTTATAATGGGAAAATACCGTGGTTAGAAAGAAGCCTAAGGTAGTCACATACGTTCGATCTTGTGGATTTAAGTATGTCAATATTGAAATCGCCCACAAGGCAAATGACCTCACTCTGGCCGACGTTAGCGATGTTTGCGTCAAGCTCATCTAGAAATGATTTAACATTGCTTGATGGAGGTCTATAAAACGCCAGAACCAATGTTGAAATTTGGCTATCGCACATTTTTATGGATAAGTACTCAGCGTGATTGAACGAGAACTTTAACTCAGCACAAGACCATCTCTCTTTAACGTAAATGGCTATGCTACCTCCGCGAGACGAGTCACGTGTACTAAAAAAGGACCGATATTTACACAAAGAAAATAGTTCCTTGTATGTATCATGTACGTTTATCTCAGTTAAAACAAAAACATCCACGATGTGTTTAATGTTACGAATAACAACTTGGAACTCGTCCCAGTAGTTCTTGATGCTCCTAATATTTACATGTACTATCGTTACTGCTCTATTTACGAGTGGAAAAATTGCTTAGCGAAGAAAGATCAGTAAATCGTCGAGAATCCTTCATATAGGAACAGCAAGGAGGTTCGCGATCAAACAATTTTCTCAAGGTCAACAGCCTTAGAGACACGCACGGGAATGGAACCTTCAGCTATTTTTGCGAATATTGTACCATTTTTAACCCACACAAAAGTATATCCTTTTTCTTTGCCCTTTGATCTCGCTTGCCAGAAAAGCTCTCTGTTTGCCTTAGTGAGGTTTTCATTAAAATATATTTTTTGCGGGCATTCTACATTAGAAAGCGAGCGGAGTTTTTTTACGGGTACTCATCCATTTTTGTCTGATATCAGTAAAGGCGAATAGAACTAGGATAGGTGGGGTTGAGTCAGGCTTGGCCCGGGGGCGGTGGACATCAAGTATCTCGCTAGCCTGACAATTATGCAAGTCTACTTTGACTGACAGGCCCTTCAGAATGGCACCCAAATCCTCGTTCGGAGCACAGGCAATTCCAGAAATTTCCATTATCTTGTTCTTTTTCATTTATGTCGGACTACAGTCGCTGTATCAACAATGCTTGATCAGATACTGTCGACTGCAGAGAGCTAACTTCCGACCTCAGTAACTTAACTTCACTTTCATTGGAGCTGACACGTGCAAGAATTGTGTCGTATTGTTGGGATAAGAAGGTTATTGACGTCTGAACAGCTCCTACGGTCTCTTTTAGGGCCTCAACTATTGGTCTCATTGATAATAGGACTTCAACGTTTCATGGTAGATCACTAAGCCTGTCAACACTGTCTTTCAGATTATGCAGAAGATCAAGCTTCTTCTTGACGGCAGCAAGTTGAACCGATATCGTGTTGTCATCATCCTGAGTTATCCACTCTGACTCGGTATCAATGAAACTCAAGTGAGTTTTAGATTTCCTGCATGGGCCACATACCCAGATTTTGCGTCTTGCTTTGCCCATCGTCTTAAATGCAATGTGAGAGCATCGTTGGCCAAGATGACGTACTGGCTGAGGCACTCGGAGCATTTCATGACTCTCCCATCGGTAGGAAGGGGATCAAGACAGGCGCAGCAACTAAGAGACATTTTAACTATAAAAGACGACAAAAAATAAGATATAAAAATTTAACGCCACGCTCTGCAGTTCGTGGTCAACTTAGACTACAGTACACAAACGTATCAGACGCTCACCTGCCGCAAAACAGTGTGTGTGGCAAGGGTATATAAACCGCTGACTAAAGCACAACAGTTCAAGGAAGCTGTCTGTGAAGCACAAAATCCAGGGTGCGGGATTTCGCTGCTCCAGTATGCGGTGTCTGCCACCATCAAGCCAGTATGTCTTGATTACAGCTCTTCACGGCGATGCCGGCGGGTGTAAAACCAGCACAGTCTTCTTGCCCTGCCTGTACAGGACGACAACGTTGAACCCACAGCGAGTGAGGGTGATCGCTCATAGGCTAAGTTGCCGAGTTGAAGCACCGATGACATGAATATGCAGTGGAGTGATTTCTGCCACCATCAAGCCTGTATGTCTTGATTACAGCTATTCACGGCGGTGCCGACGGTTG